CTATTGTGTCTCTGCTCATTCAAAATAAATAGCTAGGGGTCGGTCGAAACCATTACGCCCTCAGTCTGACTTTTTATTTTTTGGCGCGATCAAGAAACACAAACTTTATTCACAATATTCAACTAAACAACAAAATGTGTGTGTGTGTGTGTGTGTTTGTTTATATATTACATTATATATTAGTGTCACAGTAACATTAAATATATTCCTGTGTTTCAACACCTCCAAAAATCTCATGATCAGCTTAACATAATTGTTACTATTAAACTGTCTTCTGCCCGTTGCTACATATTAAGGCAATAGTGATTTCAGTCTTCTGCTCCATATAGATTATGTAGTCATACAGTACGTGCATCTATAAACTTTGTTTATCGTTGCTTCGTTTCTGGAACTAGACTACAAATATTTTCGCACATCGACACAAGTCAGTGTTGTCCAGCAAGTGTTTTGTGCAATAATGCGATGGTCATTTCCTAGAAACCCCACTTTCCTGTCTTGTATTTGCCCATTTGTTCACTTCTGCGTCGCATTGTTGCCCACTTATACACACTATAACAGAAACACGTAATGGATAAAGTCATTACTGATTCTTTAAACCAAACCTGTGGACCATCACTTGACGACCGAATTGCCATGATTCGGGTCAACAGAAAGGTACTAAAATCAAAAGGTAACGATAGGTGCTGCAGAAGACAATTTTTACTCGGCACCTTGACATTTAATTCAGACTTTTACCTACCTGCAAAACTGTAATGTAGAAATGCATTTAAGCTCCTGGTTAATTAGTTACCTGCTAGAGTGACGGTAAGCAACATAGAAAAGAATGCTTTTAGCAGTAAATCAGCGTCTTACTCTATACGTTGTGAACGTCTGTGTTGCTCGAAATCACGGCATTAGCTTGATCAAAGCTGTCCGTTGCATGAAGGCAGTCGAACTTTACAATTAATATTTCACCATCTTACCTTTAATCTGGCGTTATAGGAGCAAAAATTCTTCAGTGACTTAACAATATTATCTTCCTTCTAAAAAGATATAATGACGTCTGAGTATTTCAGCAAACTTTCATTGTCTTTTACACGTCCAAACGAGCAAAATATAATACGCGCGCGCACCTGCGCACAATCACAAAAGCACACAGACCCTCTACATTTCCGTGTGATAGTAATATTAAATGTATTCCTGAATTTCAGCAGAACAAAAATGTCAAACCGAGACCAACAAACTGCTTGTATCCGTACCTTCTGAAGTATGGACGTAGCCGTGTTGCGACTCTTATTTTCCCCATAGCATTCAATAATAGGTGTGTCTACAATCTTCCTCATTTTCTTCCTTATTTTTACAATTGTTCCATTGTTTGGGAATTGGTCTACTTGACATACAAAAATCTTCGCGCATGGCCACACGCCAGTTTAGTCTACCAGGAGTGATGTGAATTAATGCAATGATTAATTTTATAAAATAAAATGCAATGATTAATTTTATAAAATAAGATCACTTTTTACTGCCTTGTATTTGTCCATCTCAAGCTCTGCATGATGTTGTTGCTTTTTTGTTACACAAGAACAGCACAAACTCTAAACGGATGAAGTCATAACTCTATATTTCAGATATATATTGTGTGTGTGACTATTTTAGCTAACTGTCATTTTGTTTTTCACGGCAACACGAACAAAATGTAATGCGCGCACGCACCCGCGCACAGTCACATACGCACACAGACAGTAACTTTTCGTGTGACAGTAACTTTAAATTTATTCTTGAATTACATAGTTGCTTACAAGAACAACACAAACTATTAACGCATAAAGTCATAACTCTTTCTGTAAACTAACCTTTTGGATTCTCCTTTATGAAATCGTATTTCAATGACTTCAGTCAACAAACCTGGACCAAAACACGAAAGTAAGTCTTTAGGTGTTACGGCAGACTTTTTTTTTTATTTTTTTTTACATACCTTGAAACCGAATCCAGACCTTTACTCCTAAGACCGTAATGTAGAAATACATTTTAAGATTCCGCTCAATTAGCTACCTTTTGGAATGGGTGTAATTAACACGAAAAGGGATGTTTCACTTTTAGCAGGATATCGTTATCTTGTTTCAAATGTACAATAGGCCTATGGCTATTTTGTTCGAAAACATGTCATTAGCTTTATCATTTTGACAATTTTATAGAGTCCATCAAACCTGTCGACGATTTATAGGCCTACTTCATCGGTTTACCTAGAATCTCTTTATCATCAAAATTCCTTCAGACACCCGACAATATTATCGTCATTCTAACAGCCAATGACGGCTGAGGTTTTAAGGTAACTTTCAACTATACATGTATCACTCCGCTTTACAGATGTTGCAATGCAGTCGTTGATTACACCAATGCGAACTTAATTCGCATCTACCGACAGCGCAAATGTGGATACGTTTCCGTGTACGATATATTATAAAGAACCTAGCTAGCCTGCAGTTGGGTATGATAAATGCTTAAATGCACAGTGACGTATGGGGTCAAGGGGCATCATAGAGTGCGAATGATCCGCGTTAATTTTTTGATATTTACGTTTATGTTTACATGTATTCATTTGGCAGACGCTTTTATCCAAAGCGACTTACAAGTGAGATAGCTACAATACAACACAAGAGAAAAACCATAACCAGTCAATAATATTAGAAGTACTGCATGACAAATTTCCAAAGGTTGGCCAGACGAGGTACCAACATGCAGGTAAAGCTAGCGAGTGCGTTAAGCCATTGCAACCAAACCATTACACCAAATCAATACGTGAAACTATTACAGCCAAACCATTACACCAAATCAATACATTAGACTGTTACAGCCAAAATTTAGTTTAATAGGAGATAGGGGGGAGGTGTTTCAGGTGCTCGGGTGAGAGCGGAAGAGCTGTGTCTTCAGATGTCTCTTGAAGACAGAGGGACTCAGCAGAACGGAAGAGGTGTGGAAGTTCATTCCACCAACGGGGGGACAACGGCGGAGATAGTAGATAGTGATTTAACGCCACGATGCGACAGGACCACCAGGCGCCGTTTGGTTGCAGAGCGTAGCAGTCGGGAGGGAAATTAACGCGTTATATATGTTATGTGTTTTTATTATTTTATTATTCTGATTATTTATTAAAAGAATGAAAAATGTGAAAAGAAATGAAAGAAAAATAGAATGCCACTCAGATACTCTGGTGAGTAGTTGAATAAGAAAAAAAAACATGACATGCGGGGCTCAGAGATTGCGAGCCTTGGGTGAAGTTGCCCCTAGACACTGATCTTCAATCTGTAATGGTTACAGTTACATTTGGGTTTGGAAATTTGCTCCTAGATCCACATCTATGGCAACTACACTCTGAACTGACCCTGGAGCCATGTGAGTTACAGTAAGCTGTACTTAATGCATGCACACAATAGCAGCGGATGAGAGAGACAGACAGCTGTGGAAAAACAGCACATGGACATATGATTCCACACGGAAACTGGTTATCATACTACCATATGCAAAGCAAACGGGGAAGTGCATTGACCATAGGAAAATGAGACACACAATGACCATAGCAAAATTAACTATGTACCTTTAGGAAGTGTCATATTGAAGGTAAACTACCTTCCTGTTAGTGTCATGTAACCTCAGATAAGTGTGAGGTATTGCACTGTCTGTTAGAAAACAATGCCTTGTGTACTAATGCCAAGTGGCAGGCCACCAGGCTACAGTCCTACAGTGGCTTCAGATTTTATTCATATAGGGTTCTGGCCGGCCAGTCCAGGTACACCCCCATTCTGCAGGAGAAGTGGGACCCCAGAAAATTTATCTTGGTGCGTTTGTTATTGTGCCAGGCGAAGCATTTGTCAGGGGAGCATTTCAGACTCCAGGGCTTGCCATTGAGCCCGAGATGAGCGTCCTCAGAGCGTGTTTTCCTCTCGATGCCGTTGTTTGCTGCCCCCACCACAGCCTTCGTCCCACTCCATTCAACCTCCCAGTAACAGCAGCTCCCAGACTGGCCCTCTCTGCACAGCACTTGTGTCAGTGCCTCGGATCTGCCAGGGTGATCTGGATATGCCTGCTCCTTTGTCAGCGTCGCCCTCCTGTTCCCTTCAGACAGAGACAGCTTTCTGTGTGCTGTGTTGGGGTCCAGCATGAGCTCACAGGCATCTGCATACAACAGTGAATATAGAGGAGTTCCAATAGTAATTAAGCTGTCCTGATCATGTAAATTTAATTTATGAGTGTGCGTGTGCGTGCGCATGTCTGTGGGGGTGCTGGACATATGCAAATTTGATCATTTTGACATCTAAAGAAAAATTCAAATTAGGTTAGCTGATAAAGTCAGACAGTTAGTAAGAAGATAATATTGTCAGGTGAGTGAAGACAATGTGTTACTACAAAGCAAGATTAAAAGTAAGATGGTAAAATGTAAATTGTAAATCGATAAAATGTTTGACAGACTCCATGGAAAGCATCAATGTGCTGAATAGACATTGACAAAATATGGGAGAAGATGGGGATATTGTTTTGCATGTTAAGTACACCCACAGCTATAACTTATTGTTTCATGTAGCTTATTAAGGAGGGGCTTAATATGTATTTATACATTAAACACAAACAAATGTTAAACAGTGTCTGTAAATGCACTTATGATTAAATACCCTGGGGAGCAGAAGAATGAAATCACGACTCAAAATTTTTCACAACGTGCACAATACAATAACCAGTATGTTAAGCTGGTAATGAGATTTTTGGGGCTTCTGAAAAGCAGGTATATATTTTATATTCTTGTGATACTGTTATTTAGAGAATGTATTTCTGTGTGTGTGTGTGTGTGTGTACTTTGTTTTGACATCTAAAAGAAAATGAAAGTTAGTTTGCAACGGGTGACGATTTAACTTTTAATTATAGGAATGATAAAAATGATGAAGGAAATGTTAATCGAAGGTTGTAGATGTTTTGACAACATTATCCTTGCGCCTTACCATCTCCCAGTGCTGCCAACTGTTTCATTTTATTAGGAGTGGGGCTTGAACCCACATGGACATGGGCCCATTGTATTTTAACTCCAAAGCCTTCACCACTTGGCCTGGTATTCATGATACCCACTCAATACTTGCCATAACACATCAATTAATCCACGTTTAGTGACAATACTATAAGAGTTATGTTTATATTAACCTCATTGCAATCCTTTATTCGTGATGGGTGTAAACATAAACCTTACATTGTTTTTAATTTAATTGGTTATCTCTGATATGCATTTTGAATTTATAGGGCACAAACATATTAATAGAATATGATCTGCACTTTGAAATTAATTGCCAATAAGTGAAAGCAAACAAAACTCTCAGGGATCTTCATCAGCCAGGTCATCCTCTAAAACTGAGCAGCAAGGTAAGAAAGGCATTGATCAGAGCATCAATGACCAATGCCCTTCTTCCTTTGCTCCTTATACAGCTGGAAGGCAAATGGAAGCCTCTAAGACAATGTGGAAGATAATTTTTTTCATTAGACCAAATGTTGAGTTGTTTGGCTTTAATACTAAATGCTGTTTCTGCTGAAAGAAGGGCATTGCTTATCACTCTGACAACACTATGCCCATTGCAAAGTATGATGGTGGCAGCATTATGTTGTGGGGTTGTTTTTCATCAGCAGGGACTAGAAGGCTTCTAAGAATCAAAGGAAGAATGGATGGAGCAAAATATAGGCAGATCCTTGAGGAAAAACCCAGAACAGTCTGCAAAAGACTTGAAAATGGGATGGAGATTTATTTTGCAGCAGCAAATGACCCCAAACAGAGAGCCAATGCAACCGTACAGTGGCTTCCAAACAAAGTGAGTGGCCGAGGCAAAGTCCAGAGTTAAATTGAATAGAAAATCTTTGGCAGGAGGTCAAGACTGCTCTACATGACAGTCCCCATGTAATGTGCAAAAGCTAGAGCTGACAGTGGGCAAAAATTAAATCTGCAAGATGTGAAAAGCTTGTGAAAAACTTACCACAAAAGACTTGAGGCTGTGATTGCTGCAAAGGGGGAGCAATGAAATATTAAATGCAAAATAAGGTAGGGGCCGAATACTTATCCAAGTTGGTTTTTTCAGTTTTCCATTTTTCATTCAATTCTCTTTTTCAATAAAAGAATTTTCCTCTATTAAAGTGTTGTATGCTTTATTTATTGAATGAAATGAAATCCATCGAAATGCATTAAACTTTTAAATTCAAATGCAGACCAGATGTACTCAGATTCCAAATGGTTTTATTGAAGTCATAGGGCAGGTTTGTAGTGGCAGAACAGGCAGGGTCAAAAACCAGAAAGGCAGTCCAAGGCAGGGCAAACGAGGAACAGGGATCAAAAACAGGCAGGGTCAAACCGGGCAGGCAGGCAGAACAGGTAGCCAAAGGAGGGCGGCAGGCAGGGACGAAGTCGGAGGTCGGGCAAAAATCAGGACAGGAACAACACGATGAATAATCAGGCGGGTATGAAACTGAGATGAACTGGCAACAAGACAGAGAAAAGCAGGGTAAATATAGGGCTGGGCTGACGAGGAGATGGGAAGCAGGTGGGCAGGCAGGCAGGTGGAGGAGATCAGGCAATCAGGAAATCAGGTGGGTGGGGACAGAGCGGAGAGTGGGGCAGGGCTGGAACACATGGGAACAGTAAACAAAAGCACATGGACCACATTGACATACAGGGAGAACAGCAAAACAACAGCTATGGGGCCAGAGTACTGACAGTGTGCAGTCATAATATATTAACTTAATATCATTCCCCAAGGTGACATGCAAGAAAATACCTTTTGAACGGGGCGGAAAGGGAGGTGACATGATTCTAAATGAAACACGATAATCACCCTCCATACAGCTATGGACATCACATCAGTCCAACATCCCAAATTTGTAATTCTGTGTCAATGGTAGCACACACAGAATTGTCAAACTATCAATCAGAGCTTGCCAGCTATGTTAACCAGATAGATTAACAACCAGATAGATTAACAAATTGACTATCTTCACATTTTTTATATTCAGACCAATTCTGAGCGGTACCATCATTAGTGTGCACTGGCACAACCACTTTTAATCCAGGCAATTTACAGTGTGCATTTAACAAAACATCATAACATGTGGTACATAACAAAGACATGTTCTTTATTCAACATATAAGTGAAACACAATATCTCTATTATTATGAAAATCTACAAAAAAATTCTGAAAAGCTAAAAAACTTGAAAAAATAATAATATATAAAATTACATAAAAAGGATCTCACTAGGGTAGAGGAAATGAGGTAAAGATTGAGGAAGTGACTTCACTCTGACGGAATGTGGCCAGTAATTCATCTGTTCTGGGCACAACAGGAAGCTCATCCCACCACACAGGGGCCAACTTGGACAGAGGACATGACCGGGGTGTGCAGTTGCGAGAGGTGGGGACAGCCAAGCATAATGAAGAGGTCGCAGTGACCTGGCTGATATGAAGGGCCCAAAGATGGAGATGATAAGGGGAAGCCAAAGCTCACACTGCCTGGTAGGCTCACACCAGTATTTTTTGAAACATATGCACTGGTAGCCAGTGGAGGGAGCCAAGGATGGGTGAAACGTGGGAAAAACTGGGGACATTTTGGACTAACCGAGCAGCAGCATTCTGGATGAGCTGCAAGGGTTTGATGGCAATGCAGGGAGGGCAGCAAGCAGGGAGTTACAGTAGTCCAGGCAGGAAGGGATCGCAGTTTGGAGCAGGAGTTGGGTGGAGTAGATGGTGAGGAACGTGCCAATTTTCCTGATGTTGTATAGGAAAAATCTGCAGGTCCTGCTGGCTGTTTCTATAACTGTTCAAACCGTAGGAAGTCTCTGCCATCTTCATGCACCACAAAGCAGTAGCACATCTGCCATACATCTGCTGTCACTGCAACAGGTTCTCTTCTGAATCTGAGGAGCACTCCAATGAGGCTGTTGTTAAGGTCTGGCCCAGAAAGCAGCACCTCATTCAGTGAGACTCCATCGTACTGTGCACTGAAATCAAACACCACACAAATCTGGTCTGGTTTTTGGGGGTGGTAAACTCCAAAGGTAGGGAGATACCAACATTCCGTCCCTTCTTTGAGTGGTGGTGCAAGCTCAGCATGTTCATTGTCAAGTATTTTATGCATGAACTCAGTGAAGTGCACTTTCATTCCAGGCTTCTTCTCTAACATACAACGCAGTGACATCAGACGGCTGTGAGCATAGTCTCTGTTGTTAGGGAGACATCTCCGTGGGTGGCGGAAAGGGAGAGGAGCAATCCAGCTGTTTGTGTCATCTTGGAAGAACTCCCGTTCCATGATCTGGAAGGTTAGATCCTCAATGGAGTGGGCGAGCAGGCTGTACAGAAGATTATCTTTGTTTGATACCACTGAAGCACTTTGTGTGGGTTTGTGCAGGGGAGGATTCCTGCCATTACCTGCGATACTATAGATTTCTTTCACTCGTATCTGATTCTGATGCAGGTCTTCACGGCACTCACTATGTTTGTTTTGTGAGCACCCCCTATGCATACATCACCTATGATGACCCACCCAAGGTCTAGCTTTTGTGCATATGGTGCATCATGAGGGCCATTGTGCTGTTCACGAACCTTATGGGCCCTAATAATGTCTCTTCCCTATAGCAGCAGGATGTTGGCGACTGGATCAAGAGGTGGGATGTTATTTGCTATCTGTCTTAGGTGATGGTGGTGGTATGCGGCTTCTGGCATCGGGATCTCTGATCTATTGTTGGGGATTTCATTACACTCAATGAGTGTAGGTAGTGGGATGTTTATTTTTCTACCTATAGATTCTACTGTGAATCCATGGGCTCTTCTGCCAGCTGTTTCCACCATCCCTGCACAGGCTTTGAGTTTGTATGTCACTGCTGCTCCCTTGATGCTGAACATGTCAAAAAACTCTGATCTAGCCAATGGCATGTTGCTTTGGTCATCTAAAATGGCATACATTTTTCTCTGTAGCTCGCGCTGCCCTGTGTCCTCTCTCTCCCCACCGTTCTCTGATGAAGGGGAAAAACCTGGCTGTGACTGTGGAGGAGGCCCAGGATGAAGAGCAGCAAGGTGTTTATTGCTGTCACACTCCATACATTTGATGGGGGTTTCACAGGATTTTGCCTGGTGAGTAGTAGAAGCACAGCAGCGAAAGCATATATTGTTCTCTTCTAACAATTTCTTTCTGTCATCGAACCTCATTTTCCTGGACCCTCTGCATTTCTTCAGTGAGTAGGGTTTGTTATGCATGGGGCACAGTCTGTCAGGATTTTCTGTTTTGGACACTGTATCTGATGATGATATGCTTGTTTTATGTATAGAGACAGGTTTCATTTGACCTAACTTCTCTTTCTTGTAAGGGGTTGTAGAGAGAGTGGGCAGGTTAAAGCTGGGGTCATTTCTTTCTTCAGCCTCCCTGCAAATGAACTCTTTAAAGAAGCAGAAAGGAGGAAAGGCAACACCATGTTCTCTCTTGTATTTGCACCCTTGAGACAACCACTTTTCATGGAGATTGCACTCCCCTTGCTGAGTCAAGGTAAACTAGCCCTGGCAAGTATTCATCTTCCTTGGCAACATCCAATTCTATCAGTAGGTCTGCTAGCTCTTGAAGTTTTTGACTGTCTCTGTTGTGAATCTTGGGGAAGTTCTCTGTTTTACTAAACAGAGCTCTTTCTATTGCTTCTGGAGATCCATATGTTTTGTTCAATCTCTCCCAAATCGTTTTAAGACCAAGGGAGGGTTGTCTGACATTTACAGACCTAATTCTTAGTGCTTGCTCACTTGAATCCTTACCCAGCCATTTGATCAGCAAATCCATCTCTTCACTTGCTGACAGCTCAAGGTTTTCAATCGTGTTGAGGAAGGTCTTCCTCCAGGCTTGGTAGTGTTCGGGTAAGTCATCAAACTTTATCAATCCTGAGGAAACCAGCTGGCTCTTAGCAAGGAATTTGGCAAGATCAGCTGTTGTAGCATTATGATTTGTGTTGGCTGAGTGTGATGGCTCATTGGGGAGAGCACTGTGCTGATGTCCGTAATTTCTCTGCTGTAGTAAACCTGCGTGAAGCTGCTGTGTGTCCCTTTGT